GTGGGGACGGCCCCTGCGGCCAGCGCTGACCGCTCCCGGGCCGCGCTCGCCCCTCGTCGGGCGCCATCGCAGCGCGGCCCGCAGCACGGCGTTCGTGCTCCAGCCGAGTTTCGAAGCAGCCTGTTCTGATTCTTTTCGTTTAGTAGTCACTCGGATCCGATTGTGCTCTGGGCCGTACTGAGAGTTTTGATAAAAATTGATTGTATCTGGGTCGTTTGAACAGGAATTTGTGTGGAATGGAGACTGTAGAGCAAGTGGTTACTAAATCACCAGGCCAAGTGCAGCTCACGATTTCTTTGATTTAGATGCAAATATTGCAACATGGATTAACATATAAAGATTCATAATACATTTTAAGAAGATAATTATTCAGGAAGTAGAAACCAGGAAGTGACATATGAGCATTTTTTCTTAACTGTATTTTCTTTATTCTAAAACCATTATACTCTTTAATTCCCTTCCCATAGCTTGGAGGGCTGCCATGTGAGGTTGTGCAGGTTGTGCACTGCACAACTTGGAGGTGGGCATTCACATTACATTCACCTGAGATTTGACGTGAGAAAGGAGTGCTTTTTCTGACTTGTGCAAGAATGCTCCTGGGCAAGTGGCAGTCAGTGTGACTACCTCCCCCTGCCAACAAAGGTACTTAGAGGAAAACATGAAGGAAATCAAATTTTTCTTCTGCTAATATTTTGCAGCCTTCTCTACCCCCACTCCAGACCTTCATGTCTCTAACCTCAGCTAGCTGATCTGTGCGTAGTGGTATAGAGCACAGAGCGGGGAGCCAGGGCCACAGTTGTCTACCTGCATTATCTAGGGGAAATGCTCTGTGCCTCAGTGTCCTCGTCTGTAAAATGAGGAGGGGACCTTCGTCAGTGGGCCATTGGGAGGGTTAAATGAATGATAGTGTAAAGTATTTGCAGCTGTGCCTGACACGCCACATGTCCGTGTTCAGCTTCCGTCTGATGTTGCTCTCACGGCGCCTGTGTGTAGCAGGACCGCATCTTAAACACGGATGAACCTTTGAGGGCACAGGTAGAGAACCCACTATCTGCTCCCTTGATCCCAGGAGAAGCAGCCCAGGTAGATAGTCGATTTCTTTGCCTGTTTTCTTCTGGGTTTTGCTTCCCCCTGTCTCAGCAGTCCTCTACCTGGTGTGTAGTTGTTTATGTGCCAGCCTCTCCCATGAGATGGAGCCTCTTCTGTGGCAGAAGCTTTGGTTCTCGGGCCTCACGGGCACGTGGCAGGCTCCGGGGCGTTCGAGGTCAGTGCGTGGGTTGGCGCTCCTTGGGGTTGGGAGGCCCTGCCTCCTAGGGCAGTGTTCTCTCTCTGTGTCCTGATCCTCCTGGGCAGGCTCAGCAGGGCAGCGCTTACCACCTGCCCCATTCTGCTCTCGACATCTAGAAAATGCTCCGGGAGGATGTTGAACGTGCACGCGGGCTCTGTGTTCAGATTAGATCAGGGAATGCGTGTCATCTCCGTCAGAGCCGAGATGGCAGTTTTGACCCTGGATCAGAGTGAGGAGACCTCTCTGAGGCTTTGTATAAGCTCACAATCCTTGTGCGGCCAAAAGAGAGTATGTTGTGCCTGTGGCACTGTGTGGGGTTCTAAAGATTGGTGTGTGTGCACGCACACTCATCTGATTCTTTCTTTGTGTGTGTAGGATTTCTCTTTCCTAATCAAATGTGGGCCACCCACTGGGGCCACAGAACAGTGCCTTCAGGGTTGCGTTTCTTCTCACTGTGAGTCCGTTGCGGACTCGCCAGGGTGCCGGTAGACACCATATCATCCCCTGAATGAAACTTGAGTAGAGCTGCTCGAAGAACACAGAGCATTGCACATGTCTTTTTGACACCTTTGCTATTGATAGTGAACCTCTGGGTTGTTCTCATGTTAGTGATCTGTGTTATATCTGTCTAGTGTTAATATAAAGATATATGAGGTTGTGGACACATTTAGAGTCCGACAGGGGTTTATATCAGTCAACTAACTGGATATCTTTAGTTATCCAGTTATATCCAAAAGATACAAAAGTAGCAAATAATTCCATTAAAATAATCTTGACAGTTCTTATCAGAGACGCCATAACCTCTGTAGTTACAAAAATGTTAAATGATATGGGCCTGAAAATTTGGATAACGTTTTTTTTTTTTTAATGAGGAAGACCAGCCCTGAGCTAACATCCATGCCAATCCTCCTCTTTTTGCTGAGGAAGACCGGCTCTGAGCTAACATCTGTGCCCATCTTCCTCTACTTTGTATGTGGGATGCCGCCACAGCATGGCTGACAAGGGGTGTGTAGGTCTGCACCTGGGATCCAAACCTGGAAAACTTGGGCCGCTGAAGTGGAGTGCATGAACTTAACCCCTATGCCAGTGGGCTGGCCCCTGTGCCCCCATTTTAAAGAGCAAGAAACGGAGGAGTCAAGAGGACCACTGAACCATGTGAAGCCGGGGTTTCAGTAAAGGTATCTCAAAGCTCAGAGCCCATAAGCTCTGTTTCCCCTTGGGTGTGGGGAGAGCCTTCCTGGGGGTCCTCAACTCACTCCTGTCAAGGCCAAGCCTACCTCGTAGACTGGTGAGGGCGGTGAGCAGCCGAGTGACGTGGGCATGGTGTTGCCAGCTCGAGCCTCGGCAACCGAGGCACGCTCTGCTCCTGACGCTCGCTCCTGCCCTGAGGCGGCAGGCCCCTTGCTCCTCCGGAAGCCCTACTTTGGCAGCCAGTGGCTGAGCCATGGCTGTCTGAAAGTTCCAGTTCGTAGTCCACGTGCACAGAGTGGACGCTGCTTAAACCAGGTCTGCTCTGCTGTTCATCACTCTGAGTGCAGGCTCTCTCCAGGCCAGAGCAGGCTCGTGTCCAGGCACAGTGGCCTGGACCAAGCTCCCAAGAGAAGGTGTTTGAGCCCCTTGGCTGATTGTTGGGGAGCTGCCGTAAGAGCTAATTGGCTGTGCTGTATTCTGCCAGGACATTCTGTGTTCAGGGCTTCTGCCTCTTGTGGGAGATCAAGATTTGGCCACCCTGAAATATATCTCTTTACCTTGATTGTTTTCTCTGAGGGACATTTGACCTCCCCCACTAACTGCCTAAAGAATTTGACATGGTGGCTCCTTCCTGGAACAGATCTTCTATCGTGATGGCTGTAAAGATAATGTAGGATAAATGTTACAATAGAAAAGGCACCAACAAGCCCATCTTATCAGAAGTTCTCTCTGGCCACATTCTCTGGATGGCCCTGCAAGGAGTTGCCAGACAAACATTTACATTTATAAGGGAAATCTCCATTTGTAAAGGTATCTCCCTCTCTGTTTTGGGAAGAGGGGGGGATGGCCTCATTTCTAGAGGCTTAGCAATGTGGAAGGTGAGGCCTTAAATCTGCATAATAACCTTACTCTTGTTTACTGTGCTTTAGTGGTAATCTCCTGTAACTGACTCCCCCCACCCCCAAAATCCTCCTTTGTCATTGGCTGAACGTGGTATTTAAGACGAGAATTTCTGCTATTGTGTTGAGAAACGCAGTGTCCCTGGTTTCTCCCATGTATACATGTTATTAAACTTGGTATTATTTTCTCCTGCTAACCTGTCTTGTTAATTACTTGGCCAGCCATAAGAACCTTAAGGGAAAGGGCAGAGAGGGATTCTCCCTCTTCCCCCGACACTCTCAGCAGGAACTGCAGAGGCTGTCTCTAGGCCACTGCTTTCCTTGATTCTGTCCGTTGGGTGCCCCCGTGCCCTCTCTACCTGGGTGAGCAAGGGAGAATGGCTCTGCATCTGCTTGGGGGTGAAGGCTGCCTTCAGAGAGGAGTAGCGTGGCCTTGGGCTAGGAGGGGATCTGGCTTCATGCAGCTTCATCACAAGGTTTTTGACACAAACCTCCTGCCAGATCATAAATGAGAGCCACCACATAGCCGCACAGCTCGAGGGTTAAGTCACTCACAAAAGCTGGTGTTACTGAACCAAGTGGGCTCGCCTCCTGGTGAGTTAAATAAGCCTCTACACCAGTGGAAGTTGTCTCACAAAGTGAAGTGTATTTGCAGCAAATAGGAACCATGAGGAATCATTTCCAAAGTCATGGTGTTGCCGAACAAAGGGAAGCAGGAACTTTTATTTGGTTGGGGAATGAATATTCAAAAGGGAGAGGCGGGTATTTGCTTGCACAGGCTCAGCTGGAGAACATGCTTCCACATAATGAGGCCTGAGCTCCTCCTGGAAAGATCTTTGCATTAAAAATAAGGCAAAGGTCATGGGCATAGCTGTGGTGGTGAGGCTTGGTCAGTTTCAGGATCGCTGGTGGTTACATCTCCTTAACACACAAAAGGAAAAGAAACAACTTGGGAAAACAGTTAATTGCTTCCAAACCCACCTTTGAATTTCCCGAGGCGCCTAGTCGGTGACTCTGGGTCGTGACTCTGGGTCGTGACTCCGGGTCATGACTCTGGGTCGGTGACTCTGGGTCAGTGACTCCGGGTCGTGACTCTGGGTCGGGGGACGGGAAGGCTTGGCTGTCACATAGGGGTGTGTCTGTGTGCTTGTGCCTCTCCGGCCCCTGGGGTCAAGTGGAGGGCGCCTCTGGGCTCCGGGGAGCACCCCAGGCCATGCAGGTCCTGAGTGAGGCTGTGGCTGGCTGAGTGTGCACACAGAGGCCTGGGCCTGACACCCTCTGGGACCGCCACCCAGAGCTGTGGGGGTACTAAAACCTGCAAAGGGCAGGCTGGGGTTCCCATGGCTTCTCTGTTCTGATTCTCCTGGGTGGTGTGACTCAGTGACACGCTGACCCTGTGGACCTGCTGGGACTTGGAGTCCTTTGAGAGGACAGCTCCCTGGCCCACGGTCAGGCTGCAGTACCACCCCCCAGCCGCACTGCCTGCCCCCAGGGCTCTCCGGAGTCCTGTGAGCTTTAATATCCTAAGAGCCTGTTCATAGAGCACTTTTTCTCGAAACGCCCTGGAGATAGCTTGTTTCAGAGGCACTTTATTTAGAAGTTGGTGACAGGGAGGAGAATCTGAGCTAAATTAAAATATAATGATTTCTGTACTTGTTCTCACCGCCGACAGAAGAATTTTTTTTCTTGATTTTGTTCATTTCACTTTTGCTACACGGAGGCTTCAAATAAGTGCGTGTGGAGGGAGCCGTGTGCCAAAATGGGGCTCCCCCCGACGTGTCTGGGAGGTCTGTGCCGCCCAGCTCCGTGAGCCTCCAGTGTTTGCACGGTGTCTAGGCTGGGGGACAGGACACTGGGAGTGTCCGAGCTGCATTTGTGACCTGCCTCTATGAGCAGGGGCCCTGGCTGATGCTGCCGTGTCTCGGGTGCCCTGGGAGCCACTGCTTCTGGTCTCTTCTCCCCCGGCCAGAGAGAGCCTTTGCAAATGGTCCTCTGAATGTTTTCGCTAGAGAGCTGCATGTGATATATCCCAACGCTTTTTGAGAGCAGAGAGGTTCTTTGGATCTTTTCCTTCTCTGAATTCTCAGGGCGTTTTGAGAGTAAATGCCTTCCTGAGACTCTCCTGGTGGCTGTTCCTAAACTGCGTACACTAACTAGGTTTGGCAACCCTGTAATTGAGCCTTCCTCTCCTCAGTGGAAAACCACACAGACTGTCTCCTCACCTCCCAGCCTGGTGCGCAGTCTCTGCCGACCCTCAAGGGACTGCTGGTGAGGGAGCGAGAGGGCACGTGTGACCTGGTCAGGGAGCTGCGTGGGCCTCCCTGGTGGACACAGGCAGAGGGTCCGAGTGCTCGTGGGCCCAGGTGGGATTCAGTAATGAGACAGCAGGCCGCTTAGCAGTGAGACTGAACCCTGCAGCAAGCTGCAGCCAGGTGGCGGCAGCGCGGGAGGGGCCTGTGCTGCAGGGAGCCGTGGTGTGCCTCTCGTGGGCTCTGAGGAGGGGTGTGGGCAGGACTGAGCCCCGGCTTCTCTGGGAAGCTGGAGAAACAAGCTTCCCTGTCCGGTCTGGGGTGGGCTTGGGCCGAGGGGAAGGGGGCAGGGCTGTCAGGATGCCCTGCCCATGTGAGCCTCCTCCCCAGGTGAGTCCTGCTCTGAGCACTCACATTCGCCTAATGCTTGAGGTTCAGAGAGCACTTTCAGAGAAGGTTCTTCCTCCGGTAGAGCCTCTGCGGGGCTGTGAGGCCTTGTGCCAGTTGTCACCTCTCTGCCTGTCGGGGCGGGGCCCGGGGCGTGCCCCACGAGGCGCCAGTTCCAGTGCACATCCCTCTGGGAGCACCACAGTGGCCCGGCCCCGAGTGGAGACGAGCAGGTGGAGTCAGCTGTGCTGGCTCAGGTTTGGGCCATGGTGAAGACAGCACTGCCCCAGACCTGCCGACCTGGGATTAGTCCCCACCCTGTGCTGTTGTGGACGAGCCGCTAGACCTCCGCTGAACTCGGGGTTCTCCTCTGTCAGGTGGGCACAGGCACGTCTTTCATGTAAAGTGCTGAGCCGAAGGGGGTGATTATGGATGAGAGCTGGAGGGTCGTCTGGGGCTGGAGGAAACGTGGGAGAAGCTACTGCCGCCGTCCGTGGAGTGAGACCAGCCTCCAGCAATCCGAGTGGCAGAGTGAACAGAAGCTTCCGGGGACCTGCTGTTGTGTCTACACAAAGTGCCTGAGTGCACGGTCCAGCGTGGTGGCGAGTTTCTCCTCTCCAGAGAACGGCAAGGGTGAAGGGACCGGACTAGATGGCGCCTTCCCAGCCCTGCCTGTCTAGTTCTGGAATAGGAAGTCCACTCTGTGAAGAACCCTGCATGGCTGGTTTGCATAAGCCTCCTGAGCGCTCGGTGAGCCCTGATCTGGGTTGTAAAGCCTGTCCCTCCCGCGTGCCCTACAGTGGGCTAGAATACATGATGTGGCATTCAGACGTGTCTGCTCCATTACACAGGTCTGGCCGGTTCACCCCAGAGAGTGACCTTCCATTTGTAGTGGTGAAGATACAAGGAGAGAACCCTCTGTTGATGGCTTTTCCTATCAGGAACAAAGCATTGATGAAGTGACTGTCCCCTCCCCAGGGCCTGGGGAAGCTCCCATCCTCACATCGTGCTGAGCAGCACGCAGCAGGGGTGCTGATCAGTCGCGAAGAGTGCATTTTGTCTGTGCTAATTGTGATGACAGCAGAGCAGTAAGCGCGCTGCCGGTGAAATTAAACTGGCAGAGCCAGGGTGAAGACGACACGGAATGACGATGGTCAAGACAGATATCAGGGCAGGGACCCTTCACGGCTCTGAGAACATCACACGCTATAAAAGTGGCACTCGTGAAGTACCTTCAGGTGGCCGAGACGAGTGCATGCCGCCCCTGCCCTGTGTGGGGAAGGGACCAGGAGTCTCCCTTCTGCAGTGAAGGACTGGAAGTCTGTAAAACACCAATAGACCCTTCCAAGGGGAGGGATCCTCAGATGGAAGTGTGTGGGGCTGTGAGACGTCTTTACCTGGTCCTTGACCATTTTATATCTGGCTGTGACAGTGTGTGCTGGTGAGCCCCCGGCTGAGCAGGTGAAGTTAGGACCCTGCTAGGTGGGCGGGAAGCCCCTTGGCACCCCACCTTTGCTCATCACACACAGCAGAATCCTAGCACTTCCTTCCTTCCCTGTTTTGTTTAGAGATGCAGGTCGCCCAGGCTGGATGTGTGGATGTGTGCGCATCTCTCCCAGATGGAGAGGAGAGGTTTCCGTCCATTCAGCCTGGAGTTGAGAAAGTCATGTCTGTGCTGTTTGGCTTTATTCCCATTGACTGAAATCCATGCCACATCATGCAGACCTTTGCTGCCCAG